CCTGAATCCCAGCACCTCACTGGTGACCAAGCTTCAGACACACCTGTGATCGATTGGGAAGCACTAATGAGTTAAAGGTCCTTACCTTGGAGGGCGGGGCTTGGGGCACTGCTGCATTCTGCTCTGTACATTTCTGTGTTCAAATTTCTTTAATCTATTAATCAAGTTTTGCAAATTTATATAGACAAGGAGAAAAAGCACCACCTTTGTGGTATAAGCCACATGTGCTTTTAGAGGAAAGGTCTAGAAAGTTCAGTTTCTAGTCACATTAGCACATGTTATGTGCTCAGTAGCCACGTGTGGCTTATCACTGTGGACAGTGCAAGTCAGGGAGGGCTTCCTGGAGGAAGTGGGGGAGCTGGGCCTTGAAGGGTCACAGAGTGGGAAAGGAATGCCCCCCAGGCAGGGGGACAACATCAGCAAGGCTTGGGTACAGGGTGGGCATGGGCTGCTCACAGGGAAACTGATGCCAGCCTGCCAGGAGGGGAAGGCCAGGACGGCCACTTCATGTTCCTCCACCTTCTCGAGTCCCCCTCCACCTCCCCAGGACACGGTGCCTTCGGGGGTTCAGCAGGCCAGAGGCCTGAACTTCAGGTCCACCTTGACCTTTATGCAGCAAAGTGCTTTGGGGGGATTCACTTGCCTCTTGGGCCTCACCTGCCCGTCTCTGAAAGGAGGGTGTTGCACTTAGACCAGCGGGACTCCTCCAGATTTAAGTTCTGTGGTTCCTCCCACTGGCATCCTCCCGCTTCCTTGTTTTCCCGAGGAGGGGTGAAGTCATTCCTTGCTGTGTTCGCAGTGCCCCACAGCCATCGCAATCTCAGTTGATCCATCATTACTGAATTCAGCGAGTGTAGCTTCACTTATCTAAGCTTCTGCCACTAGAGGACGGGAATGAGGACAAGTTTTCCCTCCATCTGCAGTTGTGGGCACTGCCAGCAGGGGGCAGGGCCCTCATAATCTATTTAAAAAAAGAAGTATGGGGCATGATCTTTCTGTCTTTCCTCTTTTAGGTGTCTCCCGGAGGACCCAGAAATTTGGGACGTTCCCTGGGAATTATGTAGCTCCGGTGTGAGAGGTCTCCGTGGCATCTCAGAGCCCAGCCTGGATGGGTGGGCAGCAGCAGCACTGCTCCCATGCAGAGAACACCCCTCCTCCGCCCCTAGGACCTGGCCATTGGCATCCGCAGACACCCCAGAAGCCTGTTTCCCGGAGCCCCTCGAAGCCCCCTGGACTGATTCCCACCCACAGCACACAAGCATTCCTCCCACAGTCCTTTTATTTCCTCCCCTTCCCGACCCCCCAAATATAGAGGTCTGCTTTGAAGTGGAGACTCTTTCCAGGCCTTATTGAGACCAGACCCCCGAATCTCCCACCCCCACCCTGCTATGGCATCTCCTCTAACAGGGACTGGCTCCCAGCTTCACCCCCATGGGGTTCCTCTAACAAGGACCAGCTTCCTAACCTGATGGAGACCAAAGGCCACCGCCTGGAGGGGGTTCCTCCCCTTTGACTCCAGCTTGCCTGCCGCCCCCTTTGCCTTCCTGCTTCCAGCTGGACCTGGGAGTGAAGTGGGGGGTGGACGCAGCACCTCCTTGGCACTTGAGGCCTGGCCAGGGGTTTCACCTGCAGGCCCCCCTGCCCAAAGGCTGCCCAGCCCCGGACCTGGGCTGCGTGTCTGTTTTGCTGCTGCAGCGCCCAGGAAGAACGGGCCTCTGAGGCCTGCCTGTCCCAGACTTTTCCAGGAGGCCGATGCGTGCTGCCCTCCTGCCTCCCCAGCCTCCCCCAGCCCCAGGCCCCCCTGGAAGAGAATAAAATAAATCCAGACGCCAGGGACCTCGCCTCGCACTCCTTTGTTGGGAGTGAGGGAGAGGGTGCTCCCGTTCAGGATTGTGGGGATGCTTTCTTCAGTGGGCTGTGCTGGGAGTCACATGGGATGTGAGTATGCGTGTGTGTACGGGGAAGGTGGGAAAGCTGCGCTATTATCTCTACAGATCTCAGGCCTCAGGCAGCCTTGGGCAGCCCCCAGGGTCAGGCGCCTGTCTGAGAAGCAGCACAGAGAGAGAGAGAGAGAGACAGCGCTGATGTCGCGGGGACCAGGGCGAGGCCTGGCTGTGGGGAGAAACCAGAGATGGCCCTGAACGTGCCCTCGAGTGCAGGGTGTTTGGTTCTGGAGCCACTGTGGGGTTGCTGGGCTGGATGACGTGTCTAACTGCTCCATTGCTAACGTATCCCTTCTGTGTGCCCCGTTCCACACCAAAATGCTGTGTGTCTGTTTACTTTCTCCTTGCGGCTTGGGATTTTGAGCAGTCGACCGTGGGGAGCTGGGAGTGGTAGGCCACAGCTCTAGCCAAAGGGACTCCTCGCCCAAGGTTTCAGAGTCCCAGGCCTTGGTGGTTCCCAAGGGCTGACAGTGGAGGCACCGAGGAGGGAAGGCGCCTTCCTGGGCAGGGCTAGGGGCTGAGCAGGGGTGAGGCAGCGCAGCAACGGGCAGGCTGGACTCTGCTTCTTGGGAGCAGGGGGGCGGAGACATCCAGCCGTCTAGTCACGTTGTTAGAAATGCTGAAGTCAGGTCCAGCACTGTCGCCACCTGTCTGCATTCCTTGTCCAGAGGCCTCTGAAGAAGGAAGGTTGTGTACGAGGTCAAGGACTTCCATGGGGTGGCCCCGGGCTGGGCCCCTTTCACATTCCTTCTGACAATGCTGTGTTGGGGGGGGAGGCGCTGGGGGCCCAGGTTCCTCCAGGCAGGCGGGTGAGGCCTGTGAATGACAGGGTGGTGGCCAAGCCCCGGCTGGTTCCCGGAGCCGGGGCAGGACCGGGCCCGGACCGGGCCCGGACCAGGCCCCAGGGGTGGTTAAGCGGCAGCTGGAAGAATGAGACCTGCATGCCCTGCTGTGGCCGTGTGGGGACATCCTCCCCACGGTCTGCTTCTCAGTGGGCAGATCCGTCCCGTCTTGTAAAACGGACCGGTTTTCGGGACCCCGCTGTCTTGTTCCTGATCCCTGTGCTGGCTTCTTTGCCTGCCCCGACACCCTCATGTGAGGTATCAGGGCTGGAACTGCCTTTCCCTGGGGCAGAAACCAAATCCACACCGTCTCTTTGATGGGGACCTGAAACCTTGGCAGCAAACCACCCCTAGGCCCCTGGGCTGCCTGCCACCAGGGTGCTGGTGTGTGATGACCACTTCAGTGCCTGGACCGAGCACGGTGGGGGAGGAGGCTCAGGAGGGAGGAGGACCTGAGGCGTCACAGCCAGAAAGGACCTTAGGCCACTGGAGCTGCTGCTCCCGTTGGGGTGGGGGCGAGGGGGGGGGCGACCTGAGGCTCAGAGTGGCCTGGAGCAGAGCGTACTCCCTTCTGTCCCCAGGGGTCAGGTCCTGCCGCCTTTGTCTGTGTCCTGCACTTTGTGAATGCAGAGCCCACAGAGCAGCAGTCCTGCAGATGAACCTGCAGATGTTTCTAGAGGCTGCCCAAGGCAAGATCGGGAGCACCAAAAGGTATAAAACAGACTGGGGGAGGGGGAGATGAATCCATTCAACCATTAAAGCAGCATTCATTCATTTGGCAACTCTCTGCCTTCCGCCCCACCGGGGGAAGGACCTAGGCTCTGAGAGCCGAGCCGGGACCCAGACAAACACCCAGCCTGCCCTCGGAGGAAACTGCGTGGAGGCAGCCTTACATAGGAGGGCAATCTGTACAGCTGTGCACTGTCCCCACTTTGCATTGGGGAAATTGAGGCCCAGAGGAGCTGAGGAAGTTGCCCAGGGTCACACAGGCAGCAGAGGCAGATCTGGCCCCATCTGTAGCTTTCTGCTCTCTCAGGGCTTCCCGCCTAGGTGGGGGTTCGGACAGGTGCATCAGGTCAAGCAGCCACACCACAAGGCCTGGGACCAGTCAGTGGGAGAGTGGCTTACAGACACGAGGGACGGAGGCTGGGAGAGGCTAGGGACAGGGGACGTCGCAGGCTGCAGGCAGGCTGGGCGGAGAGTGCAGGAAGGAGACGGGCGTGGGAGTGGTGCTGAAGGCACTGCTTGCAAGGGCAGCTGGGAGGCAATGACTACCTGCGGCAGGCAAGTTGCAGCCATGCCCACAGGTACCTTCCTGAAAACAGACCAGCCTGTCAGTGCAAAGTGGAGACCAATGGCAGACGGAGCCAGCTGTGGTGGGCCCTAAGGTCCCTGGGGGAGGGGGGGAGGTTGCTAGGTATGACTCTGGGGAACCATTTGCCAGATGGTTCTGAGCTGGTGCCTGAGGCATCTCCTGGGCTCTCCTCTCCTGGTCCCCCGGGCCTGGGCTCCAGGTGGTTGGTGGGGGGCTGGGCCTGGCCAAGGAGGGCCAGTGGGGGCTGCTGCAGCTGGCCAGCCCCAGGCAGGACAGGAAGAGAGAGCCACAGCAGCCAGGAATGGAAAAGGGATCAGCCCAGAAAAGGGAGGGCTATGTATAGCCCAGGAGGGTGCTGGGTGACCTCCATCCCCAGTCTCCATCTCCTCCTGCACCTGGCAAGTCTCCCTGAGTGGAGCAGGCTCCCTTGCGTCTGCCAGGGGGTTTTGCACCATCGCAGAGCGCGGACCTCGGGAAGGTGGCCGGGCGGCCCTAGTTTGGGATGCGTGTGTCGGGCTGCCACTGTGCCGGCGTGGGAACCTGAAGCAGACAGACCGGCTGGGTCCACCTCAGGCCAGGCCAGCCCTCCCCAGCCCCGGCCCTCTGGGGCTGCTCTAGGGCTCCTTTGAAGGGGGGCGGGGCAGCAGGCCTGGGAAGGCTCAGCCATCTGGGAAGCAGGGCTGGTTAGCGCTACCAGAACGCCTGCCCTGCACTCGGGGGTCAGTCAGGGGGACCGGGCACCTCGAGGAGAGCGGCTGCAGCCTCTAGGGTACTCTAGCGAGACTCATCACTCCCGTCCCCCCAGGGGGCGCGGACCAGGCGACAGCGCCAGGGCCGGGCTGCGTGGAGGAGGCGGCTTCCCTTGCCGGGGCGGCGGCAGGGGCGGCCCCGGGATCACATGGGCGGAGGCAGGTCCCGGAGCCCCGGGCGGCTCTCCACAGAGTCGGGCAGGCTGCGGCAGTGGCGGCTGCAGCGACAGCCGCGGCGTCTCCTCGTCCTCCCTCCCTTGCCTCCCGGACGCGGCTGCCCAGCTGGACAGGTGAGCGGAGGCCAGGCGAGCGCGTCCACCTGAGCACCGTTCGTGCGGCCGGTGGCCTCCCTGCTCTCACCGGGATCTGCTCACCTTCGCCCCCGGGGTGACCCTCGGCGCCCGGGCCCTTCCTGCACCCCCAGCCCCACCCCGCAGCCTCGCCTCGAGGATGGCGACCCCCAGCCCTCCGGCTTCCCTGTCCCGGGCGCTCCTCCTCCAGCCCCCGGCCCGCGGATATTTTGGCCTGGGAGCGCAGAGGGAGCCGGAACTGGGAGAGCGGGGTGGACGGGCTGGGCACCTCCTGGCTGCACCCAGCGCGTAGTCCACTGGCCGGCTCAAAGGTCCGGGAATCAAGGCGTGCGAGCGGCCTGCGCCTACCTGGGTGCCTAGGGAGGGACAGAGGCCGGACCTGGGCAAAGGGGAAGCCACAGGGCCAGGAAGAGGGCAGACAGCCCTACTGGCCCAGCGGGCACTCCACAGGCTCATTAACTCCTGGAGGTGTTCCTGGCGTCCCTTGGATAGATTTGGGCCGCACTTGCCGTGGCTGGCCTCCCCAGGGGCAGCTCCAGGGGTGCGGGGCAGGGTGGTGCCCCAGTCTGGCACAACAGCTTTCCGCCTGGGTTGGCCCCTACTCCAGACTTAGAGGCTCCGGAAATCCTACAAGGTCCGTGTCTGCAAGGACACTCCCTTGCCCAGTGGAGGGGACAGTGGATGGGGGGCCTGTGGACCCAGCTCACAGGCAGCATCAGTCAGCTCACCCTGCTGGCCAGCGCCAGGGTGTGGGTGTGCCCAACTCGGCAGATGAGTTTACCCTTCTTTCAGGCTGTGCAGAGGTTATCAGGCCCCCGCTGGAGGTGGGAAGCCCAAGCTTGCCTAGCTGGACCATGTGGCCAAGGGCTGGGCAGGTCACAGGAGGCCCCTCTGAAGACCCTGGCCTCACCTTGGCTGGTGGGTGGCCCCGCCCACTTCCTTGCTGTCACTCTGTTCCCACAGTGCCACCCTCCCCCAGAGCAGGAGGAAGTGCCGTGTGTCATCGGTTTTGGGGACAGGAAGCAAGCTCTAGTGGGACTTAGCCCTGGTGGTGGAGGAGGGGGAGGAGGAAATGCTGACACCCCCTGCCACCCTCAGGCCGCCTCCTGCCGTGCCCAGCGAGCCCCTCTCTGGCCCTGTCTGACAGCTGCCTCCAGGCAGCTGTTGTCCTGGAGGCAGCAGAGGGGACCTCAGAGTCCTGGCTCCCCGGTGGGAAAAGTGAAACCCGGGGGAGGGGGGGAGGCGGGGAGGCGGTCACTTCCTCTACCTCCACCCCCAGACCCTCACGGCTGCTCGGACCTGTCGTCCCCTTTCCTCCCTTTTCCTCTGTCCTGCACCTACACCGTCCTCTCCGCCCACCTCTTCCCCAGGCATGGCGCTGACTGTGGATGTGGCGGGGCCAGCGCCCTGGGGCTTCCGTATCACCGGGGGCAGGGATTTCCACATGCCCATCATGGTGACCAAGGTAAGGGTCAGTCCCGGGAGAGGAGGAGGTGCCCCAGAGTTAGGGTCTGCTCTGGGTACCTGGCCCCTGCAGACACCTTCTTTTTGCTCTGGGCCCAGAGGTCTGCTTCCTGGGAGTGTTGGCCCAGGGAGGGCCAGGGCCCCATTGCCATGGGATGTGGTTATCAGGTAGAGACAGGCTTCTAGATAGTGAAAGGGCCAAGTAAGGGGCTTGCTGGTGGCCATCCCAGGCCTGCCGGCATCTGCTTGGGGCAGCTCTGAGAACAGGAGCCCCGAGCTCTCGGCGGCTTGCTCCTGGCCCAGGCCCGGCTGACGGCCACCAGCGAGGTGCCATTGGCTCTCTACCCACAAGTATTTCTAAGCACAGTTCCTGAAATTAGTCATCACATGGTCCTTGGGAGGCCCCCTTTAGAATGCCAGTGTTGGGTAGGGAGGGCTGGGCTGCCACTCGGCTTTGGAGGGCCTTAGCTGGTGTGTGTGGGGCAGATGCCAAAGGGCAGGGAGGATGATATTCAAGGAGGACACAGGGCAGCCTGGTGCAAACCAGCTTCTGTGTTTCTGGGCAGGACAGAGGGAAAACCCCTCTCCTCCCTCCCTGCCTGAGCGGTGCCGCCGTCTGAGCAGGGCATCCCAGACTGCTTTCTCCTCACCTGACAGGTGACGGAGCGGGGCAAGGCCGAGGCTGCTGACCTCAGGCCTGGCGACATTATCCTGGCCATCAATGGGGAGAACGCACAGGGCATGCTCCAAGCAGAGGCCCAGAGCAAGATCCGCCAGAGCCCCTCGCCCCTGCGGCTACAGCTGGACCGGTAAGCCCTCCACTCTGCTGGGCCGGCCCGAACACTTCCCCCTCCTGCCAGCCCACCGCACTGGCCACCCTCCGCCCGGGGCTCCCGGCCTGCAGCAGGGTGGGCTGAGGGTGTCCCCGTGACTGGCTGGGCGTGTAGCCACAGGCAGGGCAGGCTGGCATCAGCCACCTGGATGCCGGGTTTGACTGGTTCCCAAGTGTGTGGGGCACAGGGCGTGGGCATGAAGTGGGTTGAAGAGGGGAAAGGTGTGCCTTGGGCTGGGGCTTTAGGGCTCCTGCCTCCAAAAGGGCATGACCTTTGTTCAGACAGGGGCTTGGTGGCGGGGAGGTGAGGAGTTTGGGGCCTCACTCTTCAGAGAGCCCCTCTGTTCTTCCCTCCATTGTCTCTCTGGGCCCTGCTGGCGAAGGCTGATTTGGGGCTAGTGGGGTTTGCAGCCTGGAGGCCTGGACTGGGGGGTGGGGAGACAGGTGACTCCCCGGGGTGAGGCATCTTGGTGAGTCACAGGACAGGAATGCTGGGAGATTCCCCCAGCCAGGGAAGCCCTCGAACCTGTCGGTCCTGCCTCCCTGCCAGCCCCCATGGCCAGGCCCTCCCTTGGGCCTGCTGCCTCCCATGATGCTCTGGCGGCCCCAGCACCTTCTTGGGACTCCTTCCTGCACTCTGGCTCAAGAGTTTTTGCAGGAACTGGACCTAGAGGAGGAGGGTGGGGAGTACCTCATGGCATCTGGGAAGGGGACCAAAATCTACAAGAGGCTGCAGAGTGGGGCGGGGGCAGGGCAAGGAGCTGCTGATGCCATCACTTCCTCTCTGGTCCCTCTTGGAGGGACAGCCCCTCAGGGGGGAGGACCTGGGAGTACCCCCAGGCCTCCAGCTCCACACTGGGCAGGTCGTGGCTGTCTCTTCATTTTTGCCGGGCCTCCCCCAACTCGATACCCTGTAAACAACACCCCCCCCCCCCCCAGACCTTTTAGGTACCCAGAGCCCTGTGGCAGGAAGCCGCACTCTGCTCAGGGCCTGAGCCGAAGCCCAGCCCCTCACTCAGACCCCACACCCTCCCCAGAGAGGCGAGGCTGGCGGGTGTGTAGTGGCTGTGGCTCCTGCTGACCTCTTGAGAAGTGGCCAGACATCCAGGAATGGTGTAGCGGGATCGGTCACGGCAGGCGCTCTTCCTCTGCCAGCTCTCGGCCCTCAAGGGCTCTTTAAGGCTGCAGCTGGGCTGTTTTGGGGGGGTTTTGGAGGAGGGTCCCTGGGGAGCTGGGGGGAGGGGGGTGCCTCTTGCTGACTGCCATGGTGGTTGTCTGGGAGTGGGTCCCTAGGTCCTGAGGCTGCCTGCCTGGTGGGGGAGGGGGCAGCTCTGCCTTTGTTCCCTGGGGAGAAGCCTGCGGAAGGGGCCAGAGTGATTCTCTCAAAGGCATTCTGGCCATAGTGGTGGAGCTGGGGGAGGGCAGGCCTTTGGTGGGGGACAGTGGGCAGCTGGCCCAGCCACTGCTGGGCTGTAGGACTTGGGGCCACTCACTTTCGCTCTCTGGGCTTCAGTTTCCCAGGAGTGAAAGATGAAGAACTACTTTGTGAGGTCAGTAATCTCCCCCCAGATCGATCTACAAACTGATGCTGACCAGCGACAAAGTCTGGATAAAATGCAAAAAAAAAAAAAAAAAGTAGGAGGGGAAAGTGTGAGGAGTTTTTAAATAAAATTGAATTTATGGAACTTTTTGTGGAAATTATGTCCTTTCTACTTTTTGGTGATAAACTGTCCTTTCTTTTAAGAAATAATGGTGGCTGTTGGTGATCATTGTTGGTTTGCATTTGGTCAAGTTAAAGGTTGACAACCCACTGCCTGAATGGTTTAGACATTTCACTTACTAGTCTTGAGAACCTGGTGTGGGGACCGCTGAAATCTTCAGCCCCTACCAGGGCCCCCGTGACCCGCGCCTCCTCTGTCCTCTCCTCAGGTCCCAGGCTGCCTCTCCTGGGCAGACCAACGGGGAAAGCTTCTTGGAGGTGCTGGCAACCCGTTTCCAGGTGGGATGGTGCCTTCAGCTGGGACCCAGGCCCCAAAGGAAGGGGGAGGCCTGAGGGACAGGGCCCAGGAGACTGGCAGAGCACTCTTCACACCCTTGTCTCCACAGGGCTCAGTGAGGACACACACTGACAGCCTGTCCTCCCTCCGGTCCTCCTGCTCCAGCCCAGCCTCCCCCAGCCCCCGGTCATACAGCCCCTTCTGCAACCAGCCCTCTACCAGCCCGCCTGCTCTCGCTGGGGAAGCAGCAATCAGCCGAAGGTGAGCTGCCAGGCCCAGGCCAGGCCTCTCAAAGCCTCAGTAGCTGTGTTCAGGGGACCCTGGGGGCACCTTCTGTTTCCTGGGCGGTCTGGAGGGAGTGCCTGGCTCACTCACACATGATGCATTTTCCCCAGTTTCCAGAGCCTGGCGTATAGCCCGGGACTCACCGCTGCTGACCACCTGTCCTATGGGGGCCACCCCAGAAGCCGACAGGTGAGGGTCCTGGAGGGAGGAGAGGGCCTCTCCCAGCCACTGGTGTCAGTGGTGCCCGTGGGGCTGCAGATGGCTGATGTCACTAGGGCAGGCTGGCCTCTGTCTCCTAGCAGTGGCTGCTCCCCTCTCTTGAGCCAGGCGGCCATCCTGTCTGCTGGGTCGCATTGGCTGCTCAGCCCTGCCCGCCTGTCCCAGGTGGCCTTCTGCCTCCACCTCCTCTCTCCCACTTGCCGCTGCCTCCCTGCTTCCTGCTGGCTGCCTCTCTTCCTGAGTGTTTCTCCTGGGCCGGGGCTGACATAGTTTTGCTGCTGTTGTTGGGATGGTTCCCTTTGGCTCTGGCTGCACCCCTTGAGCACATTCCTCCCCACTCCAGCCTCGTGCCTGCCCCAGCTCCACCGCCCCACCCCTCTCTGTCCCCTGGCCCGGCCCAGGGAACCACCGCCAGGGGCTGTGGTTCTGCCTCAAGTGGCATTTGGCCCACTCTCTGCCGCCCCACCCCACCTCCCTCCCCTGGGTCCCCCCCCAGTCCCATGTCCACTGGTGACAGCTTAACCCCCCCAGGTGGTATTTCTCCTCTCCAGGGGCTGGGGTGGGTGGTGAGGTGAGGGGCTGAGGCAGCGAACAGTTCTGGGCCACAGCTGCTGGGGGCAGAGTTGGGGGGCATGTCCAGCCTTTGGGGTGAAGGTGATGAGGCCCAGCTGTTGGAAGCCTGACTCCGGTTGAGTCTGCATTCCTGAAAGCAGGGCCTTCGGGGACGGCGAGGGGAGGGCACTAGAAACTGGGCGCTCCGAAGGAAGGGGTGGGGTCCTCCGGGGGCCACACACTCTGGGCTCCTCGGGGACCCATGCTGGGCCTGCCCAGTGGCCTGCCAGACACATGGGCATGGAGATGTGTTTCCCGAGACCCCCTTCCTTAAACAGTTTTACATGTAGCTGTGGAGATAAGACAAACACACCAAACAATTTTGGGTCAATTAAGCACTAAACAGTATGGTCTTAATTATAAAAGCAGGAGGCCTTCTGGGAGGGGAGAGATGAGTGTGGACGGGGCGGCCTGCGAAGGCGTGCTGGGCGTTCTGCTGGCACCATCTGGAAGCAGAAGCTGATGGGCAGGGGCAGGGGACAGCCGTGGTAGAGCCTGTCCCAGGGCCTCCTGGCCCCCTTCCTCATGGTGCCCCCGACCCAGGCAAAGGGAACAGTTGGGTGGTATAGGGAGTGGCTCTCAAACCAGCAGCAGGACCTTGGAACTTGTTAGAAATGCGAATTCTCAGGCTCCAGCCTAGACCTACTGAATCAGACAGAGGAGGGCTGTGGGGGCACCACGCTGTCTCAAGGAGCCCCGGGGGAGCGGATGCACGGTGTTTTTGAGGACCGCCCCAGCTGATGGTAAAGAGGAGCCCTTGGCTCTAGCTGGGTAGCATTGGTTACCCAGTTGGTTAGAGCATTGTCCCGATATGCCAAGGTTGTGGGTTCAATCCCTGGCCATGGCATACACAAGAAACAACCAATGAATGCATCAATAAGTGAAACAAGAAATTGATGTCTCTCTCTCTCCCTAAAAAGCAATAAATAAATTAAAAAAAATGGGAAGCCATAGGCTGGGTGACAGGGAGAGGTAGGAGGAAAAGGTGAGTCCCAACCCCACTATGTCACCTCAGATGAGCCCCCTCCCTCTCTCTGCACCTCAGACCCAGACCTAATGCTCTCTGAGGCCCATGCTTTGCCCTGAGGCCCCTGGTCATTCCTTCAACACATACTTCCCAGGCAGCTGCTCCGTGTCAGGCGCTCTTCTGGGCTCTGGGGATGCAGCAGCAGGCACCTTCCAGGCCCTAATTTAATGCTGTTAATCTCCTAAACGTGTTCAGCTGCAGAATTTCTCCTGCCCCCTTCCCTGCCACTCACTTATAACACCCCATGTTCCCCGAGAACACATTTCGAGGGGTGCTGGCCACAGGCAGCTCCTGATAGGCAGACCAGCAGGTTTTCTGGACTTGGAGAGGAAAGGTCCACTCTGTGAAGGCAGGTGTCCCGTCCCGATGTGACTGAGAGGAAAGGAGGTGGAGAGAGGTGGCCTGCCCCGGGTGAGGGCAGAGGGGCTGCAGAGGCGCTCCTGCCCCTCACGCTGGGGCTGCCACCTTGCTGCTGGCTCCCGAGTGGGCGAGGCCGCAGTGAGTCCCAGGTGCAGCGCACCGCCAGCCCTTCCTTCATGGTGCCCTTCTGGAAACCAGAGGTTGCCCCTCCTGAGAAGCCGAAGCCTTGGCGAGCCGCTGTGAGATGAGAACGGCACCTCTCCGTCTGGCCGGCCGGCATGAGGACTTGGCTTTCGAAGGAACCTGGGCCGGATCTCAGCCCTCCCTCCTCACTGGCCAGGGCACGTGCCGGCCTGTCTGGGACAGCCAGATGGAACATCGTTCTTGAGTAACTGGCCGTCACTCCGAGGAAGTTTCCTCACCATCCTTCAGTTGGCCACACAGCACCAGCTGGGCGCTAGGGATCCGGGCCGTGGACTCCCAGCCCTGCCTCCCACAGCAGCGGCTTCGCCCTTCTGACATGCAGCCTCCCAGCCTGTAGGACGTTTCCCACCGAGGCCTGAGAGCAGAGAAATGCAGGCTTGTGGGAGAGGCGGTGTGGGTCTAAGGCTGTCTTCCCGAGACTCTGATGTTTGCACTTCTAGCTAAAGAACTCATGCAGTTTGTTCATTTCACCGCATAGTTCGTTCTTGACTTTGAATTTTAAAAGAGGGAGTACGGCTTCCCAGGAAACCTGCCCTCAGCCCCGCACGGCCTGGGGTCTCTGAGGCCTGCGGTCATGTGGGGATGGGACAGAGAGGCAGCAGGATGGGGAGGAAGCCAGCAGCAGGGAAACATGAGGTGGAAGGAGAGTGTGGGAGCCACGATGGCTGGCGCCCACCGGGGCAGGGGCGCTGCTGGGCGCTGCTGCGGGGCTGTGGGCCCGACCTGGCCAGGCTCCCAAGGCTGCGAGGGGCAGGAGCAGCCGGGCCAGATGCTGGCCCTCCCAGGAGGGGGACCAGTGTGTATGGAGAGAGGCGCCACGGGCAGTGCCAGCCCTGACTCCAAGAGGGTCTTGGCCCCTTCACTCCTCCCGTTCATGTTGCCTTTTCCTTACAGCAAAAGGGTTGGCTTCTTTGCTTGTTCTGTTGGGAGGAGCCAGGCCCCAACATGCAACGTGTTTCCAAACACATGGCCTGTGATAACGGAGGGATTTGTGTTTTGTCTGAACTGAGCTGGTTGTCACCCCTTGGTCTTCACTCTGCTTCCCCTCCCCCACCAGTCCCCTTGCAGGACCCTCACAGCTCCATAGCTCTGTGGCACCACCCTCCCCTCTGGGACGCAGTCCCTGGTACCCTGGCTCTCGGGCCGCCCTGGTGAGATGGTCCTGTGGAGGGGGACAAGGAGGGGGCCTCCGGGTCAGCGAGGGCCGAGAGCCCTCTGGTGTCGGGCCTGGGAACAGCCTGCCTTGGCCGCGGCTGGGTGAGCTGGCCAGAGGCGCCGACTCCTCCCCTGTTGCCTCTCCTTCCCACAGGCTGGCCTTGGCCCCAGCCTCGCTGGCGACTCAGCTGTGCTGGTGCTGCCGCCTTCCCCGGGCCCCCGGACAGCCAGCCCCAGGCGCAGGTACCAGTGGGCCCTGGAGGGTGGGGGTATCTTGGAGAGCTGGGAGGGACAGGAGACAGAGTGGCTTCCCGGAGAGGGATGGGGGTCCCCGCCTCTCTAAACCCAGGCAACATTCTTCTGGCCAGAGTCCTTTCTCCCCGGGACACCCATTCCCTGCCCCCAAACTTGTTGTCCTGACACCCAGAAGGGACCCTCACTCCTGCCTGCCTCCCATCCCTGCAGTGTGGACTCGGAGCGGGGAGGCCACCACCTGGAAGAGGACTCCGAGGTCTTCAAGATGCTGCAGGAGAACCGAGAGGCACGGGCGGTGCCCCGGCAGTCCAGCTCCTTCAGACTCCTGCAGGAGGCCCTGGAGGCCGAGGAGAGAGGTGGGACGGGGAGGGGGCAGGGTGGTTCGGGTACGGGGCTCTGAGTGGACGTGTTATTGAGCTAGTTTTTGTTTTAAATTTATTTACCCATTGATTTGAGAGTAAGAGGGAGAGAGACAGACAGACAAAAAGAGAGACATTGATTCGTTGTCCCACTTTTATGCATTTGTTGGTTGATTCTTGTATGTGCCCTGACCAGGGATTGAACCCCCAACCTTGGCCTATTGGGATGATGCTGGGACCAACTGAGCTGTCCGGCCAGTGTGAGCTGGTATTTCCTGAGTGTTCGGCATGGGAGCAGATACTGAAGGGCACTGAAAGCACAGGCCCTGCCCTGCAGGAGCTCACAGTCTAGCAGGGGTGCCAGGGGTGCTTTCAGGGATCCAGGCTGGGGTCAGGAAAGTGCCAAGGGAACAACAGAGGCAGGTAGTGGGGTTTCCAAGGGGACATGGTGGAGGAAGAGGCATTTGATGTGGCCCTTGCAGAAAGATGGCGGAGGGGAGACTGTGGAATGTGGAGGTTGGCAGCTGGAGGGCCTGTGGCTGTGGGAGCGAGGACAGCGGGCCTGGCAGCAGGAAGGTGGGGGGGTGGGGGGGTTGGCTGTGGGAGTTACATCCTGGCTGCGAGACTCCACGTGCCAGGCTGAGGAGTGGCTTCACCCGGGAGGTCCGGTGAATGCCAGGCAGTGCCTGAGCTGCCGAAGCAAGCAGGGCAGACGATTTGGGCTCTGGCCTAACACTCACTGTGCCCACCGATGGCCTGGCCGTGAGCGAGCGTGGAAATGAAGGGTGGTCAGGTCCCTGTCTGTCCGTGAGGAGCTCTGTTTATTGGGGCTGACAGGGCTGCCCAGTTCCAAAGGAACTGGACGCTGCTGCAGGAGTTCTTGCGGTGGGGGTGGGCAGGGGACCGCCACCCTGTGGGGGGAGGATGGGGAGGGCCCGGCCTGGGCAGCAGCATCCGGGAGCGAGAGGATGGGACAGTCAGACTTGGTGGCTGGTTCCAACTCTGATGTCTATCTCCTGGGGGTGCTCACAGAGGCAGGGGCCAGGGTGGAAGGTTGGGGGCCAGTCTCATCCATCATGACCCCAGGGCCTTGGTGGGCCCCTGGAGGGGGCCTGGGAGAGGCAGTGCTGAGGAGAGTGCAGACAGACGGTGACATCACCACTGGAGCCTCAGCAGCGTAGCGGGCTGCAAGTGGGGGCCTTCTAGCCCAACATCTGTGCTTCCTCTGAGCGCAGTCCAAGGTTCAGCTGCGATAATGCACAGAAGAGCCCTTTGGAATCTGTACAAAGGGATCACGGTGCTGTTATTACCTGTCATTACTGACCATTACTGTCATCATAACTGGGCCACCGCAAGGGAAACGTCTGTGTGGCCTGCTGTGTCAGACGCGGCACACAGACACTCCCGGCCTGTTGCCCCGGTTCCGGCAAACTCAGCCCCGGGTGTGCTTCCTACCCTTGCCCAGCCTCAGCCAAGCCTCTGGCACCACCGCTCCCTTCCCCGTGCCCCACGCCCAGCGTTACCCCAGAGGCCCACCCGTGAGTGCTCCTGTCAGTGCGTGTGTCCTTGGAGCGCAGCGTGTTGCGGCAGGTGCAGTGCGCGTGCATAAACACAGTCTGGACGCGGCTGGGATGGACCAGCTCTGAGGCGTCTGTCTGCCCTCACCCCTCCCAGGTGGCACACCTGCCTTCCTGCCCAGCTCGCTGAGCCCCCAGTCCTCCCTGCCCACCTCCAGGGCCCTGGCCACCCCACCCAAGCTCCACACATGTGAGAAGTGCAGCACCAGCATTGCGTGAGTGTTGGCGGCATGGGAGGCGGGTGGGGGGGTGGGCAGAGACAGGGTGCTCTCCGGGGCAGTAGGCATCCAACAGACACTCAGGGGACCAGGAGGAGCTCACTGACAAAGTGGACCCATAAGACGTTCTGTGGATGATGGTCAGTCCTCTTAGCAGGCCTGAGCTGGATTTTTCCTGCGGTATCTGCTCCTCACTCCCCATCACTGCTGCGTTTGATTTCTCTCCAATAATCTCCCAGCCGCTGGAGATCTGCCTCTAGATGAGGCAGCTCCTCCCGGAAAATGTTGCTCTTACACCCCCTGCACCTCCGTTGGAATGGGATGGATTTTCCAGAGGTGTGTTTACTTTTCTCAGTGGGTGGTATTAGAATGCAGCCATGTCCTCTGAAAAATTGCTGCAAGGCCCCCCCTGGAAAAAGTTCTTCTGTGAGCAGTGTGGAGGGTCAGCTGGCTCGCTCTTGGAATCCCTCCACTCCCTGGGCCTCAGCAGTCCATCTGCAGAATGGGACACTGCCCACGTGGCTGTGCTGGCAGAAGGAAAGGGTCTGACTTCCTGCTTCTCCAAGAGCAGCAGCACCCCCCCCACCCCACCCCCATCCCCCGCCACACGCCCGGGCGGGCTTGTACACTCCTGGGCCCAGAATTTGCATTTCCAGAGGGTCCTCAGGTGATGTGGTGCTGCTGCTGGTCCTGGTGCTGGGACTGCGCTTGGAGAGCCACTGCTCCATCACAGTCCAGAAGGTTCAGGATGGAGTTTACCTGCTGTTTGTCGGGGGAGGAACAACTTTTTTTCTGAATTAGGGGTCCTGGGGGTGGGGGTTGTTGAAGTGAGATTCCTAAGGGCAGGTTTGGGGAATCAAGTGTCTTGAGATTTGGGGATCTCCCCAGGCCCTGCCTCTGGGCTCTAGGGGGCGTCAGGCCTGCTGCTCCAGTTTCCTAACCCCACCCCCACCCCCACCCCCGCCAGGCTAATGGCTTTCCCACCTCCTTCCTGCAGGAACCAGGCCGTGCGCATCCAGGAGGGGCGGTTTCGCCACCCCGGCTGCTACACCTGCGCGGACTGCGGGTTGAACCTGAAGATGCGGGGGCACTTTTGGGTGGGGGATGAGCTGTACTGCGAGAAGCATGCCCGCCAGCGCTACTCAGCGCCCAAAACCCTCAACTCCCAGGCCTGAGCGTCGCTGTGGTCTCAGCCTGCCCTTGACTCTGTGGGCGCCCCGAGCCAGGGCCGCGCCTGCAGCAAGTTGCCATGGAAGAGCGATGGTGGGTGGTGGGTCCTCTTCCTCCTTGCTGGCTGGGGCCAGAAGCAGGGTCCTGTCATGGGCGGTAGGTGAGGGCAGGCTCACCCTCCCAGGCCTTTGCTAGATACCCTTGCTCCCCCTGCTGGACAAGTTCTGCACCAGCCTGAGGTGGATGTTGCATCAGGGACTTCCCGAGCAACAGGGGCTACGCTGGTTGGAGGTTGGACCACTATGGAGATTAGGAGAGGGGTGGGCCACAGGCTGACGGTATTCACCGTGTAAAGTTTCTGACATGTGAGCTCCATAAACATACATACGTGGACAAAATAAAGTAGCTGCCCCTCTTTCCTGCCCTGGCTTCTCCCTACCAGTGGGTGGAGAGGCTTTATTTACCTATTTCCCCCCTCTTATTTCCCCCTCCCTCAACCCCCTTGCTCCTATCTGCTGAGGATCCTGCTCTTCCTGGATCCTTGGTGAAGATGCCTGTTTTGCTGGGATGATCCCTGGTACTTTACAGGAATGAGTTTCTCACCTCAAGCTCTGGGAGGGGAAGGGATGCCAGAGGGCGGGCAGCAGAGGAATGGAGGTGGCCCCAGATTTGCTCCCTCTGCCCAGGCCCATTGAAGTGACTGCCTCCTGCTCCACCACCACTGGCTGTCCAAGCCCCCAGCTCCACCGGGCATGGGTCAGCTGCCCAGCCCACTGGCTCACCCAGAGGGTGGACTGAGGGGGAACCCTAGCCAAAGTCCCACCTGCATTCTCTGAGGCTATCTGTACTCACTGGAGGAATATGGTCACCAGAATCACTTTGGGACAAGGCTGTGGGTAGGCCTGGCCTGGAGGGGCCAACCCAGTAGAGCTCCGACTCTGAGGGACCGTCACCCCACCAAGGGCCTCCACCTCAGGGGTCTGCGTGCTCCTTTCTGTGGGAGACCCTGCTGGCTTCATTGGTGGTTGATTTGAGAAAAAATTATATATATATATTGCATGGTTGGTGCTGGCACACCTGCCCTGGGGGTATATGTTAGAGCTGAGGTGGGGGCAGGGGACCCTGCCAGATTTTTGGCTTAAGTCACTGCCCCCACCTTTGTTCTAATCCATTTCAGAAAGGTGCATGGGTGCTGCTGAGTGCTCCTGGGTGCTCCAGACTCACTCTGCCCCAAGTCAGGGCTGGGCAGCAGCCTCAGCTTTATTTTCACAGAAAAGATCAAAGCTGGGCTTCAGAGAGTGCTTTGTGCTATCTGGCTCGTTTTGGCAGGAATCTTGGCACAGACTGTGTTGCCTCCTCAGGCACCTGTTGATATAATTTACACCTTTATATAATTGTCTCACCTTTTGCCTGGATGGCTGCCTTTATTTTCATAGAAAAGATCAAGGCTTTCTTGTGGCTCAGTCAGTCTGGCCAGAATGTCTGGGCTTAAGGGGGATAGCCACCTTGGCGCCACCTAGTGTCAGGTATAGCCTGTGGCAGGGAGAATGCTAACCAAAGTGGAACCCGCCCCTCTGGAAATGCCTGGGTTTGGGAAAGCAGAAACAGGTAGCATGTTTTTGCTTTCCTGAACATAATAGTCAAGTGGCAGCAATTGAGCCTGTGTGAATGAAATAACACTCTGTGACAGTAAGCACTTAAGAGTTAATGTAGAACACCCATGCGCAGGGGCCATCTGTGTGGAAGGATGAATAGGACTTGGATGAGTGGAGGAGAGAAATGCCCAGTGAGGGGGCAGGTGCAAGTGGAACGCTCAGTTTAGGGCAGTGGCTGAAGCAGGTACTGAGAGAAGTTTGCAAAGGGAGATGGGAGCCTTGAATGCTGGGAGAAAGGGTTTGAACTTCACCTGGAGGCTCTTGGGACACTCGGAACATTTTAAGCAGCGCAGCAACAAGCTGGAAGCAGCAGGGTGGGTTGGAATGTTAATACGGCGAGACCCCCACCCCTACGTAGCAAACCCCTTGGTGCTAGCGGTGTTCTTGGGAGCAGAGAAAGACAAATGGGGAGCGCAGACCCTTGCGAGGTTGGCCTGCCTGCCAGTGGCTGAATGCCTTTCAAAGGCTGGGTGGGTTCAAGCTCAAATCCACCTCCCCAGTTGTGGCAGCCAGCTCCCCTACCAGGGGCTCTGCAGGTTTCAGTTCCAGAGCTTTCCACAGCCACACAGCCAGCTGGAGCTCAGGGGGGAACCACTTTGGAAGATGGAGTTAGTAGCCAAACCCCACTTGTCAGTACAAAAGCCTGGGGCTGACCCAGACAGGGGGCAAGGGAGACCACCCGGTCATGCAACTGCAGTTTGCACAGTGCGGTGCCCTCTTTAATGTCTTCTGCCTGTGGGAGAATAACTTCAGAAATGGTGACAGATTCCAGTTAGCTGTGGCCCGAGAGAGCATGTGATACTGCCCCCTTCAATTGGAGGTGAGAAAAGGACTCTCCCGAAGTTCTACAGCTGGATAACTAAAGTGCCAGGGAGGTTTACGTGCGTGAGTCCAATCGTCACAGTTGGGTGGGCACTGCTGTTGTCACCCTCTCTATACATGAAGACACCAAAGGCAGGGAGGGCGAGGGACTGGTCTGGGGGCTCTTAGCTGGTAAGGGGAGGGGGCCTCTGAAAGAACCCAGAGCCTGACTTCTGGGTTTCTGGCTTGTCCGGGGTGGGGGTGCACTTGCCCCTCCAGCACCAGAGGCAGCCTCCTGGGCACCCAGGAAGGGCACCATGGCTCCCAGCCATCTCTAGTCTGGCAGGAGCTGCCCCCAGGATTTCGGCTGTGCCGGTGGTCCCATGGGGAGATGATTGTCCTGCAGTTGTCAGGTGAAGGAGCGGCCGCAGAGGTGGTCCTGTGAGGGCACACTGCCAGGCAGGGCAGCAGAAGGCAGATGGGAAGGAAGTGTGTGCCCCACCCCCCAAGGTGTCCCCGATCGCCACGAGGGGGCTGGCATATCTGCCTGGGGGGTGGGGTGGGAAGACATGGCTTGGAGGGGAGTGTGCATTGGGGGGGGTGTGGAGGGGGCCTCTTCTTTTGAGGCCGCACAAAGCCTTGTGCTGAGACATTGCATTCCTGCTGGCTGGCTTCCTGTTCAGATGCATTCCTGCCCAGAGTCACTGAGGAGACTGCTGCTTGGAATTTGGCCCCACATTCTCCAAATTCAGGGCGAGATCTGGCAAAGTTTCCCTCCCTTCCCTCCCCACCTTCTCGCTTTGGAGGGAGGAAGCCATGGGACTGGCCAGCCCTCCTACCCTCCTTCCCCGGGAGGGCTGGCGGGGCGTCCAGCGGGGCCTGGGGGGTTGGTACACACGTCCCGTTTGAATTGCACAAAGCAGTTCCTGGCAGGCCCAGTGCTCTCTGCTTCCCTCTCTGTGTCTGAGAAAGAGGAATGGGGAGCAGATGCTGCCCAGGATAGGCCTGCCAGGAGGGCAGGAGGGGTTAGCCCAGAGGACCCAGGGCTACTGGGCAGGGGCTTGCTTGGCTTGACAAGCAGGTATTAAGAACAGCTGGCAAGACAAGCACCTGGCTACCATTCTTCCTTTCCTGGGCATGTCTGTCGGCCTGTTTCATGGTCTTATAAAGTTAGAATCTTGTAGTTTGTGGTTCTCTGATGAAAGCTCCTGTGTAGGGTGTTTGAGAAAGGGTGCGAAGGAGCCAGGAGCAGAGGGGCGGGCAGACATCCTTCCCTCCCAGAGAACAGCCACTTCCTCCCAGGCGCCAGCTCCGGCCCACCCAGCCCCGCCCCCCAGGGTCAGGTGCGGGTTTGCACGTCCACCAGCTCCCTGGTCTGCTTCCAGGGGATTTGGGTTCTGCTGGGGTTTTTCCAGCCAGGTCACCTTCCTCAGGAGGTTGAGGTTTCCTTAGAGGCCACCAGCCATCTGGTCACCAGGCTCTCTCTTTCAGCAGCCGCCTGATTCCCCAGCCCGTCTCAGGCCCTGGGACGAGCGAGGGTCGTGGGGTGGAGTGGGTAGGAGAGGGCCGGAATGAGGAAAGGGAAGCTGTTCCGCTTGCGCTTGCACCACCTCCAGGCCTCTCTCCTTTCGGACTCCCTGGCTCACTTCTTCCCCAGTCCTGCAGTCCCACCCAGCCCCCAGCTTTAGGGTCCCTGGGTGAGGAAGAGGAGGGGCACCCAAGGTGCTCTGGAGCTGTCGGAAAGGATTTCCCTCTGGGCAGAGATCAGTCCCCCATTTTCTCGTGCCAGTTTCTGAGTGGCGGTGTGACATGCCCCAGGCGCACAGCTGGGAGCTCAGGGACGGACGTCTGCGCCCTGGTCAGCGGCCTTCCCACGGCCAGCACGTGGGGTTCCGTTTCCTTCCGCGCTCTAGTCCAGTCCCCGCCCGTCGGCTTCATCTGGGCGGCAGGAAGGCAGACTCCGCGTGTGAACCGGGGGCGGAGTGACCCTGCGCAACCAGACAGAAAGCGACCTGGGGGGGTGGGGGGGGGCTGCCCCGGCCTGAAGCACAGAGGATCGGCGTCCGAAGGAGAGCGGACCGGGGTCCTTCTCTGCGCCCAGCCAGCCCTGGGGGGCCACCCCGGCACACGTGGCCCCGCGTGCAGCCCCCGCTCTCTTCACACCTGCAACCCTCCTCTTGCCTCGGTTCATCCCCCGCGCTGGGAGTGGCCCGGGGCGGCGCCCAGGGAGTCAGGACAACAGCGAAGCCCGGGGCGCTGCAGCAGCTAGGGGACGCGGGAGAGCGCTCTGTCCCGCTGCAGCAGTCGGGGCGGAGCGGGGCCATGCTGGGCCGGCGGCGCGTCTTCGCAGTGGAGCCGCTGGGAGGCCGGGGTGAGTCGCCCACCCCCAGGCGGGCAGAGCCTCCTGCCCTTGCGCCCACTCCGGAGCGCTGACCTCCGCCTGCGCCCGGCCCCACCGCACCCCACCCGGCACACCCACCCTCGCCGCCTCGTGGCCTCCTTTTGGAAGGGTCGAGTGACTGTACATCGCACAGGAAACCCGCCGAGTCTGGGCGTTAATTCAGTCACCACCTCCATCCCACTTCCTCCGGGACCACTTCCCTCTACTTCCCGATCCGGATCTTTCTCCTCCGGCCCCTGCCCCTGCCTGCAGTCCCGAAAGCCCCCTCCTCGGCGGCGGACCCCTGTCCACAGGCACCTCAGGGTGGGCCTCGTGGCCCACTTCCTTGCCCAGGGGGCCAGGCTTGGCACCTGGGTCTTCCTGTGGCCGGCTGGGACCTGTGGGTAGCTCTCCACCCTTTCCAGCCTCCGCTTCTGCATCATCGAGGACAACTAGGCGCCCAGAGGGGAGGAGGGCCTGGCACCCAGCTGACAGTCACTAGGTGACAAGGCCACGTCTCCACCTACCCCCACCCCAGTTCCCTTTCTTCCGGTGTTTTCTCTTCAATTTGCCACAAAATCTTCAGTGTTTTTCACTTAAAAGAACAAAAACCCAACATGGTTATGGCTATTGTTATTTTTAATTACTGTCCCCCCCCAGCTCCAGGAGAGACTTCACCCAGCACCCTGATGCCTTTTGCACCATCTCTGTGCCCTTCCCCCTCCCGGAGGCGGGGTGCCCAGTCACACTCCCCTTTGGGAGCAGGGGAAGAGGCTCCAGTGCCCGCACTCATGACTTGGTCAGGGGCAGACCCCAGGGGCAGGGGCTCAGGGGTTCCTAGGAGGAAAGCAGCGCCTCCTCAGAGGAAGACAGGCCATCCAGGAGCTGATGAGGAGGAAATCCTTTCCAGCAGCCCACCCCACAGCCGTACCAGGGGTGTGATCGCTAACAATTACTGCTGTAAAGGAGTCCCACAGAACAGGGCCAGGCAGGGGTGTGGCTGGCCAGGCTCCTCCCTTCACCTCTGGCCCCGGACACTCCCCCCTGGGAAATGTTTCAGCTGCCAGGAATGCTGGGGGTGCAGGGGCGCCTCCCTAGCCTGATTCTCACTCTCCTTGCAGATGGAGCTGGTGAGAACCTGGCCCAGGGTTGCGTCGTGCCTGGAGTCACCAGCACCTACAGACGGATCCTGGACACCTCTCAAGGGTGCTCACTGGGCTCCCGGGAGGGGGATGGTGAGGTGAAGGGTCTCTGGGGGCAGGTGCCACTTCTCAAACTGGCCTCCCAGGACTCAGGAGTGGAGATGGCGGTTGGGGACAGCTCCCTGACCACCTCACCGGGCCTTTCTGAGGAATCTCTGGACTTTGAGCCTGTGGGGGGCCGTGAGCCCCTGGCCCTGCCCGTGGAGCTTCCTGCCCACCTGGACCATATCCTGGCCAGCCAGAAGCTAGAACAGGTGCTGGAGCGGTCCAGCCAGCTCCCGACTTCCTCTGCCAGCTTGTCACAACACTGCCGCTCCCCAAAGCCAACAAGGAAGCCTGAGTATGGAGTGCCCCTTTTTGGAGCAAGGGACCAGGAGGCCACCAAGGCAGAAACTGACCAAGAGGCAGGCCCAGAAGAAGCAGAGGTGGTGAGTACCAACTCTCGGCTAGGTGAAAAGTGGGTGGACATGGCCCTCTGACACTGGGGCTGGTGGGGCCCCCCAATTGTTCTCCCCAGAGCTCTCTCTTGGGGTGGGGCATTCCTGTCCCTAATTGATGGGTGTGTCCCAGCTTCTTGTCTCACTCCACTCCCGGCCATGTGGAGGTGGGCCGGTAGGAGGTTTGCCTGGTGCTGTGGTTGGCTGGGCACTGGGAGGCCAGCTGGGTGCAGGGTCCTCCTCTCCCTGCCTGTTCTGCCCCCATCTGATGGCCACCGAGGGTGGGAGTCTGGTTGAGTTCAAGTCTCCCCTACCTCACTATGTCCCACAGGTGAGGGGCGTGGGGCCTGAAGCCTGGGCCTGCCTCCCAGGACAGGGTCTTCGCTATCTGGAACACCTGTGCCTAGTGCTAGAGCAGATGGTGCGGCTCCAGCAACTCCACCTGCAGCTGCAGACCCAGAGGCTCCCTGGGGTGAGTGAGCCCTGTGGTGCTGGTGGGGAGGGGGGCAGGTGAGTTGAGGAGGCACAGGAGGGGTGGGGCCCCTGGCACCAGGGCTTCCTTCAGAACAGCCTCGTCTCTGCTCAGGGCCCAAGTGCCCTTCTCTCCTGCACACGAGACCCTGCCGAGGAGGAGCCGACCCTGGCGCCTTTGCTTCCACCCTCTCACGCCCCAGGCAGTGGGGTACACGGGTCCTGGGAGCTGCTCAGCCAGGCAAAGGAGACAGGTATGGGGCGATTATGTCTCCCTCCAAGTCCTGCTGGCCTGGGGCCCCAGACAGATCCCCTGAGCCCTGGGCTTGACTGGTGTGTTGCTGTTTCAGGACCTGGGTCACCCGATTCTCTCTCTGAAAGCGCAAAAAGAGCTTCACTCCCAAAGGTGGCAGTGCCCAGTGCCCACCCTCCTGGGCTGTCAGAGGCCCCCACGGGGCCAGCTTACAACTTGCCATGCTCCCAGAGTCACAAGGTGGGTGATGGGTGTATGCGGAGCGGGTGACAGTTGGGGGTGGGGGGTGGTTGGCACGTGTGGATACAGTAAAGGCCAGAAACTCTGGGAAAACAAGGGGATTCCTGTTTGGAGCAGGTGGCCTCTCTGGGCTGGGGTGACAGCTGTCTGTGGCTGTATGGGATGTGCTGTGGGGTGGGGCTCTGTGGTGACCCCCTCATTCTCTGCTCAGCGGGATCTCTCCCACTGGAACAAGGTCAAGGTCCTTCTCAATCGGATTCGCTGGAAGAGCTCTCAACATTCTGAGCCCCCTGCTCCTCCTCATGGCCCTGCCCCCAGGTGAGTGCTGTGGCTCAGCCCAGGTGAGGGTGCAGGGAGGAGCCTGATGAACCAGGGTGCTGAGGTTGTTCTGCTGGTTCTCTTCATCCCTCTGTGATCTGAGTGACACAGTCTCGGAGACAGTGCTGGAAGAAACAGAAAGTAGTTAAAGCTTCCTGTTGGTAGATGCGGAGGCTGAGGACTGGGCTGGGGAGGGAAGCCACCTTCCTGAGGCCACATGGGTGTCAGTGGCAGAGCCAGGACCAGAATGTGGGAAATCTCCTTATGCCAGCCTTGCAAATCCTCGACCCTCAAAGCTGAAACTTAGGCCACCTTCCCGGTGTGCTGGGCAAGCAAGGTGGGGGCACAGACAAAGGGTGCCACAGTGGACCATGGGGGGGATAGTTACACTGAATGATTCTCCAGGGGAAGGAAGCACCATGTCAGTTTCCATCCCCACAGCAGACACGTGCTCCTGACCCACTCTGGGGACATCACCACCTTTGTTTCCTTTTCCTTATCTAAGGCCACCTTGCCTTTTCCACAGGATTGGGTCAAGGGACCTCCCTGAAAGACCTCCATGCCGCCCCCTCCGGAAGACCTTTATGCCATCGTTAGTGGTGAAGAAGCAACGAGGAAAAAACCTTTCTGTCTGCTGAGACCTCCTGGTGCAGGTGTGCTCCTGTGCGGAGGGGTGTGCACTGAAGTCTTCTTTGCCCTTTGCCCTGTCACTGTTTTTGGGCACTGCCAGAGAAAGCTGCCGATGCTTGCCCTTCTCTCTGAGGCGAGGGCTGAGTCCTTCTCCTCTGAGCAGCTTGGCAGGGGAGTCCTGGTTCCCCGAGAGACCCCAAAGTGTGGCAGCCCCTGGGCACCTCCTTGGCTGCCAGAAATCCCTGAGCCTAGATAATGTGAACCGATTCCTCAGGCATCCTTGGAGCCTGTTTGGCATGGTGATGTGTCGGGGCCCAGCCTGCTGCGTATGTGTCTATATGCAAAGGATACATACACATATCTCTGTGAGACTGCCACAGCTGTGAACTGACGGGATCCAACCAGCTCTCCTGAATCACACACTCAGAAAGCTGGTCTTCTGGGCGAAGTGACTGCAGAGGGAGGGAACTGACTGACCTTCATGCCTCAGTGCACAGTTGCTAGTCCTGGAGCCCTGCTTTTCTCCTCATTGCTGCGTGGGAAGCCCCAGCACAGAGAAGGGCACTGCCTTGGCTGTCTCTGCGTTGAGTCTGGTCCATGGAGCCGTGCCTGTGAAGACTGCACCAGGAATGGGAGGGTTCAGAAAAACATGGAAACTAGCAGAGTAACCCACAGGGTCTATTCCTAGCTGCGTTGTTCCTCACTAGCCTTTACACATCACAGCTGAAACTGGAGGCCCATACTAGCTTTTAGACCTGGGCAAAGTCCCTTAACTTTTTTGAGCCATAGCTTCCCATTAATCTCCCAAATGGTATAATGATGATTGACCTACCTACCTCACCGGCTTGTTATGAGGATAAAATGAGATTAAACTGTCTCAAAGTGCTTTGTGAATGTTACATGACTAGGGGAGGGTATGGGTGTTGGAGGGTGGCTAGACTGGAGGGATGGTGGGAAGGTTGGGGGTTAAGGGAGGACTGGGATTGGTAATGGGGACTAAAACGGCCCGTGATTAGCAGCAAGACTTGGAGCAAGTCATTTCACCGAGGCCCTTGAGGTTTCATATCAGAGATGTAGGACACTAATTCCCAACCTGCTTACCCCCAGAACTGTCGTGAGCACTAAAGGAAAAGTCCTTAAGAACTCTGTAATTGTCTCTCTAAATATCGTGGTAGTTTGTATTACTACAACCTGTTAGGTTCCTAGCTTTTTGTTAATTGAGAAAGGGGAAAGCTTAGTCTGCAGGCACCTAGAGGATGGAGGGGTGGTGTGTATGTATGGTGCCCTCAGTGGAAGGGCAGGACTGGGGCTGGGATCAGTGGCTAGAGACAGAAACAGGAACACCTCCCAGAAATGGCCATCCATCCGCAGGGTTCGGTTGTCCCGCGACTGCAGTCTCGGGGGTCTGCCCAAATGAGGCAAGACCGCGCCCTTCCTCAGGTTTGGGGCCGCACTCTACCTATCTTTGGACAAAGAACCAATTCCCTGAAGCCCATTTTTCTAATGGGACACTTAAGCGAGGACACCACCCAGGCGCGGCTTCCGAACGCGCGTCCGAGGGGAACGGCGTACTTCCGCTCCGGGTCGTAGCGGGCCGGCGGGCCGGCGTGGGGGAGGGGGAGGTCGGTGCCGCGGGGGAGGGACTATATCCGGGAGAGTGGCAGCTTCCGACCAGTGGTCGCGTTTCCGGAGAGGCGCTTCCGGTGGCGGCGGCAGCAGCAGCAGCGGTGGTTCCGGGTGTCTTTGTCCCCCCGGTGTCGCGGCCCTGGCCCGCAGGTGGGTTGGCCGGACCCCCGCCGCCCTTCTGCCCCGACGCTCCTCCCCGACCGAGGGGCCGCGAGGGCCAGGCAGCAACGATGCAGGGCCGGGGAAGGGGCCGAGCCCCCCTTGGACTGCAAGCCCCGTCTCCCTGGCAACGGCCTCGGCCCCGGCCCCGGGGGCGGGCGGAGGAGGAACCGCGCGCCTCCGTCCTCTCACGGCGGCCTGGCCGCGGCGCGGCCCTGCCCGGGCGATCCGGTACCGGCGGCCGCTGAGGCAGGAGCGAAGGGCCGGGCTGCGCGGGAGCCGGAGGGCGGGCGCGCAGCCGGATCCGCGGTCGGCCGGGCCACACGGCTGCCTCGCCACGGGCCGGGGGACAACGGGCCAGGCTTCCGGGGAGAAGGCCCCCACGGTCCCCTCTCTGGAGGCAGCCTCCTCCATTTTTCTGGGCCTTGCGGGGAGCATTTTGGCGGATGTGTTTGAATGAATGAATGTCTCCGGGCCCCTTCCAGCCTTCAGACCCCTCACGCATCCGGGGGTGGCGCAGCGAGAGGGGCGCTGCATTGTCGGGAGACCTGGGTGTGAGCCCCAGTGTTGTCACTGACTGGTTGTGGGGCCTAGGACGAGTCGCAGTCTCTGGGCTCCAGTTGCCTTTTCTTTCACGTAGCCCGGCTGTGTCCCCGCCGCTGGGTTGGTGGTGAGGGCTCTCTGGAGCCGGGTGATCACTTCAGTTCTTGCTCCTCTCACACTCCCTTCATCGCCTCCATTCATTCTCCCTGCTCTCCTCAGGAACTTAGTTCCTGTTTTGGGGCTGATGGAAAATTCCCCTATGAGCTGTTAACTTATTTCTTTCCTGATTGAAGGTTTTTTCCCCCCAAGACTCTGAAAGAGGACCGCATTCCCGATGTCCCAATTTAAGCGCCAGCGGATCAACCCACTTCCAGGGGGACGCAACTTCTCAGGTGACCGTTACTTTCTCCCCGCCGGGGCTCTGGGATCGTACTGAAACAGCATGTGCTCTGGAGTTAGTCTGGAGAAAACTTGGCCGTCGGATTTCCCTGGCGGAGCCCGGTTCGCTGCTGATGTCGCGGAGGAAAACAGGCGCTGGCGCGCGGTTGACAGCAAAGCCCTGTGGAGGGTTGCGTGGGGCCGCTTTGCCCGCTGGGCTTGCCGTGTGGTCTAGGTCAGTGACTCTCAGCCGGGTGTGCAGTGACAGGCACACTGCTGCGCGCAGGGATTTTTAAACCATGCAGCACCTGGCTGTTTAGTCAGGGGCATTAGCTTTTTTCCCTTAGACTGTCAGATTAAAGAAACAGTGACAACAGTCAACATAGCAATAGGCGTCTGGTGTGAATGAATCAAAATTATACCTACTTTTTTGGTTAGAGCAGCAAAAAACTATGTTTTCTGGTGTGCCACAGAATTTTAGTCATTAGTTTGTGTGCTGTGAGGTGAAAAAGGCTGAAAGTTGCTGCTCTCCTTGACTGTAGTGCTTAAGATGGTAGGTGCCGTCCCTGGAGATTGCTTCTCTGTCCATAGGCACAGCTTCCACGTCTCTTCTGGGCCCTCCTCCTGGTTTGCTCACCCCCCCTGTGGCCACAGACCTGTCCCAGAATGCCAGGCACCTTCAGGTAGGTTGGGCGTCCTTCCTAGTGAGCACCAGCCCTGGGGACCACCCCGGTATGCATGGGTGCTCGATACTTTCATTTTTGCATCACAGTGTTCATCTCTGACAGTTGTGCCCTGGGCCAGTGCGGAGGTGACTAGGCACCACTGACTGGGGTGTGCAGAGTGCTGGCTCTAGGGAAATCTCTGGGTGCTTCTTGGAACAAAGGAACTGGAAATCGTAGAAGCAGCTTGTGATGCAAGAATCAGCATAATGCCCGCCTGCCCTCCCTTCCTTCCATGTGAATCGCGAGGCCGTGCTCTGAATGAGCTGGGGCAGTGGGCTACACGGAGATGAGATGCTAACAGCAGAACATGGACAAACGCTCCCTGTTTTAAATGGCACCTTCTCTTACAGGGTGGGGAGAAGCAGCGGGTCTTCACTGGCATTGTTACCAGCTTGCACGACTATTTTGGAGTGGTGGATGAAGAGGTCTTTTTTCAGCTGAGGTAGGTTCGAGGCTGATCTCCTTTTGGAAATGCTTGCTGGATTCAGTCTGTCACCATGCTTTGGGGCTCCTCTGATGTTATCGCTTTGCTGTTTTCATGCAAGGGGTGAGAAATCTTGATGGGCAGGGCTCGTCAGGGGGGCGTGGCCGGGCCTCCTGACTGGGCCTCCTGGCTTGTGTGCTGGCAGTGTGGTGAAAGGCCGGTTGCCCCAGCTGGGTGAGAAGGTGCTGGTGAAGGCTGCATACAACCCAGGCCAGGCAGTGCCTTGGAATGCTGTCAAGGTGCAAACACTCTCCAACCAGGTATACATCTCTCCTTGTCACATGCGTTGGAAAGGGGAGGGAGGGAAGCCCCTGTTTCCGAAAGCTGGGTGAGAACCGTACTTTTGTCAAGGGGGTGGGGCTGCATCTGTCCAAGGTAGTGAGCACATCAACCAGGGATGTCCTGATTTCCTGGTTACTGTCCTGCAGCCCCTACTGAAGTCCCCAGCACCCCCCCTTCTACATGTGGCAGCCCTGGGCCAGAAGCAAGGGATTCTGGGAGCTCAGCCCCAGTTGATCTTCCAGCCTCACCGAATTCCCCCCCTCTTTCCTCAGAAGCGTGAGTACCAGTGGCATGGGGTGTGGCTTTATGCGGCACTCTGGGTGGGTGAACGGACTCGTAACTGTCAGGTTGCTGCTCTATGAATAGAAGTGGGTATTTCTGTGCACTGAAAGAAAGGGACAGGGAAGTTACATGTTTAATTTTTGAGTCACCAGCCATTCTTTCTCTGCAGCTCTGAGTCTTTTCCAAACATCCCATACACTTCATCTGAGCCACCTGAACAGATTTCCTGCTCGGGGCCCTCATGGCCGATTGGATCAGGGCCGAAGGTAAGAGGATGTTCAACCAGAAAAATGTTATATTTTCCTTATTTGCCTCAAGGAGCACTGTCCCTTTTTTTGCTGCTTGTTGACATAACATTCTCTTCCCTGCAGGTAGACCCTAGTCCCTTACCCTGAAATAAGCAGGCACATAGTGAGGTCTATAAAAATAATGGAACTTTATCAACTGGTTCAGCAAGCAGGGATTTGGTAGTTCACCTTTCAAAATAATCATCTTGAAATTTTCTTAATATATACTTTTCCCTTTTATTTCTAGTCACTGAGATTGAGATACTAGAAATCAAAACTGTCAAGGAAATAGTAGTTATCAGAAAAAGTAACTTTGTAGAATGTTTTAGTTCCTAGTTGAAACATTTCTTTGTATACATTGTATATATCAGTGTGGGGTTAGAATGTTGCACTCTGCCTAGAAGTCTAGGCCCATGCCTTGGACATGGAGACAGTTCCTTGGCCCTGTGTGGGGCCGCCCCCGTGGTCTGGGCCTTAGGGCCTCCGAGGCCAACCTGTATCACCTGTGAGCGACAGGGACTGCTGGGAGCACGCTGCCTGTTTTCTCTGGCTCATGTGTTCTTTATCCTGCCTTACTCTCTCCCTAAAGGGTTGTGCTTATGTTCCTAGGAGTTAAGCTGTAGACTAGTTTGCTCAAGACTCATTTTATTTCTCTCTGTTGGTCTTATTTTAACTTTTTTAAAAAATACTGTATTTACTTATTTTTATAGAGAGGAGAAGGGAGGAGAAAGAAAGGGAGAGAAACATCAATGTGTGGTTGCCTCTCACTCATCCCCCACTGGGGGCCCAACCTGGCCCACAACCCAGGCATGTGCCCTGACTAGGAATCGAACCAGTGACCCTTTGTTTCGCAGGTTGGCGCTCAATCCACTGAGCTACACCAGCCAGGGCCTATGTTAATTTTTTATTGAGGAAAATTTTAAGTCTAAGCAAAGTAAACAAAAGGATGAACTCTCATATACCCATTACCTGGCTTCAAGTGTCTATACCTGCCATCTTCTTCCATCTCTGCCTCTATCTGTTCCCTGCCTTGTACATGATTTTTTTAACGTAAAACTTTTTTAAATGTAAAATGTATACTGGTTGAAATGCACAAATCTTAACTGGACAGTTTTGACA